TTTGCTCTACAACTTGTGTGCATGTGTGTATGCGCCATCACTAAAGTAGATTTTTTTGCTCTTCTGCGAGTGAGTGTGCGCGCGTGTGCGTGCGTGTGTGTGCGCGTGTGTGTGTGTTTGTGTGTGTGTTTGTTTATGTATGTGTGTGTATGTTCGTTTGTGTGTGTTTGTGTACAGTATATGTGTTTGTGTATGTTTGTTTGTATATGTGTGTGTGTATGTGTTTGTGTGTGTGTGTGTTTATATGTTTGTGTGTTTATGTGTATGTGTGTTTATGTGTGTGTATGTGTTTGTGTGTTTATATGTTTGTGTGCTTGTGTTTGTGTTCATATGTTTGTGTTTGTTTATGCATATGTGTGTGTGTGTGTGTGCTTGTGTGTGTGTTTGTTTGTGTGTGTGTGTGTGTGTGTATTTATGTTTGTGTGTGTTTGTTTGTGTTTTGTGTGTTCATATGTTTTGTGTTTGTGTGTGTGTGTGTGTGTGTGTGTGTGTGTGTGTGTGTGTGTGTGTGTGTTATACTCACTGATATTACAGTATTGTCCAGTATATCCAGATATGCATCCACACACCTCTTCCCCAGTGGCTTCAATCATCCTACACACTCCGTCATTTTCACAGGGATTCCTGGAACACACTAAACATGCAGGGCAAAATAGTCGGAAACACTTTAGTTTAAAAGTGTCACCCAATCATCTAGTTTTCTCTTTGAAACAGCATTATTATCACGGCAGTGCTGTATTGTGCAGCCCTATTCAGTGTGTAGTGTGTAATATGATCCGTACCGGTGTATCGTGTGCGTTCACAGACGGCCCCGGCACTCACACACGTGCACATCTCCACGCTCCGCAGGTAAATCCGGCTCCACGACTCTCCGATATCATAATGCTTCAGATGCAGCAGCTCGTAGCATTTCCCTACAAAACACACAAACACAAAACCCTGAAGGAACACACACTCTCAGATGACAAAAGAGGAGACGGACACATGATAGCACTAAACATCAGAGAGATTCAGAACATAAAGGAGAGAAACGCATGACGGAGACACTGAGAAAACAAACCTCTAACACACACACAGATATACAAACACACGTTAACAAACATACTATAGTAATATATAGCATGCTATAGTAATAATAATATACTACAGTAGTGTATTATAGTGTAATTTCAGCACACACATGACATTGTCAGACTAATTGGTTTTATAATTCTCCTTTTGTTTATATAAAGTGGACAGTTATCAGTATTTCTACACGTTAAAATACTATAGTAATTTATAGTAAAGGGTGTTTTTGAACGATATCATAGTAGAGTATTATAATGTAAATATAAACTCTTTATTAACTTTGTTAATGAATGCTCCAGTAGTGTTAGGCTGAAATAAATACTTTACTATGGTAAACTGTGGTGTAACGTAGCATAATATACCCTATAGTTTTAGAAAACTACAGTATTGGGTTATTTTGTTTATATTAGAATACTTGTTGGGTTACCATAGCAACTGTAGAATCACCACAGCAGATCAATTACTGTAGTGCATGTTGCCATAGCAACCGTAAAATTACCACTACAGATCAATTACTATAGTTGTTTTGTTACCATAGCAACTGTAGAATCACAATAACAGATTAATTACTGATGTGCCTCCGTTACCATAGCAACTGTAGAATCAACACAACAGACCAATTCCTATAGTTGTTGTGTTAGCATAGCAACTGTAGAATCAACACAACAGACCAATTCCTATAGTTGTTGTGTTAGCATAGCAACTGTAGAATCAACACAACAGACCAATTCCTATAGTTGTTGTGTTACCATAGCAACTGTAGAATCAACACAACAGATTCATTACTGCAGTTCTTGTGTTACCATAGCGACTGCAGAATCACTACAACAGTTTTGTACAATACTCACCTTTTTCTCTGCGTACAAGCGAGAGCAGCTATTTAAATCATCTTGGCTCGAGTGCTGCTTGGTGTTGCAAGCTGATATTTTCTTATTATATCATTCTGCTTTGTCTATTTAGTCTTGCAAACACTTGTTTGTAAGTCAAGTAGTTTGACTATATTCTGCCGTTTATCATTGCTAGTCATTTCGGAAGTTCTAAAACGTAAATAGCATGGCTCAACAGTATTTACTATATGTTACTGTAGTATTTTTAATGGGTAAACTATTAAGCTAATTAACAATACTGCAGACTATAGTGTAAATAGTAATTATAATATACAATTTTACTTCTCATTTAAATAAAAAGGGCACTTATTGGCAAAAAAAAGTAGTATAAAACTAGGCTTTTAATAAGTTTTCTACAAAAAGTTTGAATGTATGATTGCTGGAAGTCTGAAAAAAGTGAACAATTAGGCTATATGTTTTAGGGTAAGATTTTAAGGTTTTCCAGGGATGATTTAGCACATGTTTACCATGGTGCTACCATGTTTTATGATATCGATTCGTTAGTCACACTTGTTTTGTTCCTTATCATGTTTTTGCTGTAATGTAAGCTTAATATTTAACGGTGTTTGAAATTAATCAGTAGCTATTAAACCGTTGATTATAGACATAAAGAAAGATTTAGGTGTGAACTTCTTAAAGAGCACCTATTATGATTTTATTTCACTTTTCCCACACAGATAACGCTAGTCCTGTTTTGAATCTGTCACTATGCTGACACATAGGTCTTTTTAGCTCCGCCCTTTTCTGGAAATAGCACAATCTCATTAGAATTTAAAGCGACAGTCACCAAAACACCACAATTAGGATCAAAGCCTGAAAGGGTCAGTTTCAGAGAGCTAGAGGACATTATCTGTGTGCCACCTTGAGCTCAAACTTCACACATGTCTAGAGACAGCCGACACACATTTTACATCTTGTAGAAATAAGCATAATAGGTCTCCTTTAAACTCTATTGATATATATATATATATATATATATATATATATATATATATATATATATATATATATATATATATATATATATATATATATA